ATAATATCTCTGGGCTGAAGCTGTGTCTACTGCTTGTTTCACTCAAAATCGGTATTTAATTCATAGAGGATTCAATATCACCCCTTATGAAATCATTAACAACTGGAAACCCAATTTTAAATTTTTCCATGTTTTTGGTTGCAGGTGCTTCATTATGAATCTTAAGGATAATCTTTCGAAATTTCAGTCCAAAGCTGATGAAAGAATATTCTTAGGATATTCTCATAATTATGTGGCATATAGGGTGCTCAACAAGCGAACAAGGAAAATCGAAGAAACGTTCAATCTTACTTTTGATGATCATTATGTAAAAAGAATCGAAAAATGTTTTGAACAAAAATCAATCATTAATGAATCCAAGAACGAATCTGAAAGCGTTACTTTGTTAGATTTTGATTATGATTTAATTTGTGGTACTCCTGATAGGGCTATTGATGCTGAAATACATGCCAAGGTTAATCGAATGCCTGAAGCTGATAAACACATTGAAGATTTGATTGTTATACAACAAATTGCAAATATACACTCAACAACAAATTCTCACATACATGTTGAAGGTGAACCAGATCTATTTAATGTTCGAGTTGAGGGGGAGCACTTGAGAATGAATGATACTGTCGAGGGGGAACAAACCTTCGAAAATGTGCAACGTCCAGAAAGTATACATGTTGAGGAGGAGCATCATTCACATGATCAAATTGCAAGGGAGCATAATGGGTCTTTACCAAACACTGTAAATGATGTTTTTCATGATGTTGTTGATAACATTTCGAATGCAGAAGATGTATTGGATACTGATGAAGAATTTGAAGATGCACCATTGGATTTTGATCCAGCATATCCTCTGATGGATAAATGGACAAGAAGTCATCCACCTGAACAAATTCTTAGTGATCCACAAGCTGGTGTATTGACGAGAGCTCAAATTCGTGTCAAGAATGAGGTACTCAATACTCATCAGGAAGTTTGCATGTTCAATGTTTTTATCAAAAAAAATCAAACCTAAGACTGTAAATATTGCTATGGATGATCATGATTGGATTCTTGATATGAAAATCTAAACTGGTTGAGTTCGAAAGAAACAAAGTGTGGCGACTTGTTCCGAAACCTAAAGAAACTTCAATAATTGGTCTAAAATGGATTTTTAAAAATAAAACGGATAAAGAAGGCAATGTTGTGAGAAATAAAGCTAGGCTTGTAGTTAAAGGATATTCTCAACAAGAAGGCATAGATTATGAGGAAACCTTCGCTCATGTCGCAAGACTCGAGGCTGTTCGAATCTTTTTAGCCTATGCACCACATAAAGGCTTTGATGTTTATCAAATGGATGTCAAGTGTGCATTTCTCAATGGCGTTTTAGAAGAAACAGTTTATGTTGAACAACCACCAGGTTTTGTCAATTCTCAATATCGTGATCATTGTTATATATTTTACAAAGTTGTTTATGGTCTTAAACAAACTCCTCATGCCTGGTATGCTACATTAACCAATTTCTTGAAATCTTCGAAATTTAAACAAGGATCTGTTGATCCCACTCTCTTTCGAAAGAAAGTTGGGAATCACCTAATACTTGTTCAAATTTATGTAGAAGATATTATTTTGGTTCAACTGACCCTCAATTTTCTATTGAATTTGAAAATATGATGAAAGGTCAGTTTGATATGAGCATGATGGGGAAGATAAACAACTTTCTATGTCTAAACATCCCTCAAAACGGAGAAGGAATTTTCATAAATCAAGAGAAGTATACGAAGAATCTGCTTGAGAGGTTTGGTATGACGAACAGTACAAAATTGAGAGTACCGATGGCTGTTTGAACAATATTGAATCCTTCGTTGGAAAAACCAGCAGTTGATATCACATTGTATCAAGCATGATAGGTTCTTTACTTTACCTTACGGCAAGTAGACCTGATATCACGTTCTCTGTTTGGAATTGTGCTAGCTACCAATCAAATCCTAGAGAACCTGATCTTGTAGCGGATAAGAATATTCTACGATAGCTCAAGGGCACAATTTCGTTAGGACTTTGGTATCCTTCAAAAACGGCGTTTTTCATACAAGCATTCTCAGATGCTAACCTTCGTGGGTGTCAATTAGATCGAAAAAGAACAAGTGGTGGATGTCAACTTTTGGATGGGAAGCTTGTGAGCTGGCAATCGAAGAAACAGACATGTGTCTCGATTTCTACAACAGAAGCAGAGTATGTAGCTACTGCAGCTTGCACTTCGCAAATCATATGGATTCAACATTCGAAAACAAAGTACCATACGCATTTGTCACAATCCTGTGCAACATTCGAAAACAAAGCACATTGCTCTTCGCTATCACTTTATAAAGGATCATGTCGAGGATGGAATATCGAAGTTCACTTTGTAAAAACCACTGATCAACTTGTTGATATTTTTACAAAGCCATCAGATTAAAAGTCATTCGTGAGAATTTTGGCGGGTCTTGGTATGACCGAAGGAATTTCAGTACCCGGACAAGTTTCGAAAGTATGAAAAGAGAAAATAGAGTACAGCTGTCGAGTCAAAGGTTACTGTTCATAGTTAATGATTCAACATGCTTCGCTTTCGACACTGGCGATCACTGCATTTACAAAAATCTTCGTTACCATTATTATTTTTCGTTAATAGTGTATTTTTAATTTTGTTGATAAAATCAAAAACTCCAAAAAAAATTTGTTTCAAACATCAAAAACACCAAAAAGATTTTCGTTATTTCTATTCTTTCTCAAATATAAAAAAATCCAAATTTTGTTTGATATTTTATCTTTTTAATGTGCAGTTTTTCACGAAGATTTTTTGAAGCTTAATTCTTGCTGGTGCTTTCTGGGGAAGGTATACTTTCGAAACTATGTAATAGTTAAGTTGTCCCTAAAAGCATGCTGCAGCATGTCGACCCAAGCCTCCAAGACTCAAGGATTTCGAAACCTTAATGAATTTCTCATTATGAGGATTCTTCCCAACTAGGCTATATTATTCTTAGTCAATGAGCTACCATACTCTACTCAAAGGAGTTTAGAGTTTTCTGCTTGGTACATAAAAATGACAGTGGTACCTTCGAAACTTTTCACCAGTCTTTTTCATCCTAAAACTCTTTCACACTCACACACAACGACATATGTCCAAGAGATTTCTGGTACAAACCAATCAGGATTTAGACATATCAAAAATCTGTGTTTATGATCTAACATCATGAGACCGTGATGAAAGTTAAACCCAATTTGTCGAACCGAAAAAAGAATTGACGGGGAACTTAGTTTCAGCATTAACGAAACATTTGTTTCAGTACCATTTTCGATACTCAAAATCATATTCTTTTCTTTTGAGTGGTCTTGATCAAATGTTCGATACCCACGACATTTGTTACCCAACAAGATCCAGTTATAATTTTTTTTTTGGAATATGATTTATGTTTGAATATTTTTCTAAACCTTCGTTACTTACAAAATTTTTCAAAGCGTACTTGTCACTGACTACACTGGTCAAACAGGTCATTTCGTTTACAATTGGTCACTCTTATGTTTAGATGTGTCTTGTAACGAAATTTTAAGCCACCTTCGAAACATTGGTAAAAGAAGCCCTTCGATACTTCTCTACAAGTAATCGTTGTAATTGACGGGAAACCACACAAGCAGTTTAACTTCTCTCTTGAGGTTAAATGAAGTGATCTTTGCCTGGGATCCTGCTGCCTTTGTGTGGAAATTATTTTGTCATCACAAAATCCAATTTTTTGTTAATTTGCTTCTTATCTTTTCACTTGGTACACATTGCACTCACGAAATCCTTGAGGTTCTGAGTAACACCAACTGGGGCTGATGATTTCGAAAGTCTGGCATATGACTTCGCTTTTCAACCCAAAAGTAAAAGAGCCCAACCTCCATTCTGAAGGTTTCTGGCGGTTCTCATTCTCTTGGGGCATGTTAACAGAGTGTGGGATGTGGCGTTTTGTGTACCATTCCGGGTTTAAAGGAAAAAGTAATGATCACTTTATCAGACGTGGCTACTTTTCAGGAATAGTGATCCGATTTTCAAGGTGACACGTTAGCTGCAATTAATGTTGAAACCGCTTCAATTCAAATTCATGATCACCAATAAATAGGGTTTTTGGGGTACATTCCAATTTTACGCATTATGAAAATCCTCAATTGCACAGAAATCTTTGTTTTCTTCATATCTTCTTCAAACCCTAACAATGGCTGCTCCGAACACCATTATTAATCCGTCCCAAACCACTGATGATATCACTTAGCAACCATTAATGAAGATCCAGAGTACAAATTTCCAAGTTCAAGCGGATGTTTCTGCGTATCCTGATGAATTGAAGATGCTCATCATTGCTCTTCAAAATTTTGTACTATAAAAGGTGATGTTTGATGCTTTTGCTGTACCAGTTTCATGGTTATCTCTTGATGGGTCTACTGCAACTTACAGCAAGACTCTAAACACGGTAACTTTCTCTTTGATGAACAACAAGAAATTTCTCCTTTTCAAGCAGAATTTTGCTCAAATTCTTAATATCCCAAACACTGAACCTTTTTCCAAAGTCACCAATGAACAAGTGATTCACATGTTTAATGAGATGGGCTATCATCCTCCTCTCACAAAGATCAGTGACTTCAAGAAATCCAGTCTACCATGCTTATGGAATTTTTTCTTTGGGATTTATCGTTGCTGTCTAACTGGAAGAACTATGGGATTAGACAAAGGGCGATTGGAGGTCTATGCGATGGTCTCAGGATTATATTATGATCTCCAGGTGGATTATGCAACTCAGTTGTGGAAAGAGTTTGATAAAAGTGTTGGAAACACTAATGTTGTCGCTGGTATCTCTTGTGCTCGATACTGGAGCATTGTTTTAAGATTTGCCTATGAAAAAGAGGGGATTGCAGTTCCTGAGAATGAAGAACCTGTTGAATTTTCGATGTTTCAGTTCCCAAAAACAGTAGAAGATGATGAGGAAATCTTTCCTAATTTTGCTTGCATCCCTGATGCGATGCTCCGAAAGGTTGATCCTGCTAATCCGGTGTTAGTGAAATACTTTCAATCTATCGATCCGGATATTATTACTGGAGTTTTGTTACTTCCTTCTATTGGTCCATCGAAGAAGAAACAGGGGTCAAATAAAACTGTTGTTAAACGTCCTTCGAAGTCATCATCACCAAAAGGTGCAAAGGTGGTTAAACCTAAAAAGACAAAGCAAAGTGAGCCACCTCCGAATGTTGTCCAGAAACCTATTTTGAAGCCTCTAATAACTGAAGTTTCTCAACCAGAGAATGAACTTATACCTTGGAAGACTGGGTTATTAAGGAGATTCATGAAATTGGTACATCGACCTTCTAATTCACCTGAAAGGTCAGATACTTTTTCTCCGAAATTTACCACGAAGCATCATGTTACTAGTAAAGGTGTTATGATTCGGGAAGTTCCTGTTCCTGTTTCACCTACTTCAAAGAAAAGGGTTGCCAAAGATATTTCCAAGAAAATTTCGAGCAAGAGAAGGAAGCTTATTCTCGAAGATTCACAAGATGATTTAGTGGTGCCATAATCACCACTTATGGAGACTTCTATTCCATCACCTACAAAGCATTTCGGTGGCAATGTGGAGACATCTAATGTGGACACAACCATCAGTCTGGGTGATTCAACAAAAGTTTCAACTCCAGATCTAATAGGTGTCACACCTCCCACAGTGACTGACGAAACTTCCAAAGATCAAGGTAATACTGATCTTATTGTCTCATCTGCTTTCGAAACTTCAACCATTGATACTTCCACTTCGTTACCTCCATTTGTTTCCACAAATCCTATTGTTACTCACTCACCTACCTATGACAACATTCTTAACCAACCCATTACTTCATTATTTTCTTCTCAATCCACTGATCCATCCATCACCCATGAAAAAGAAGACGAACAGAATGATGAAGACAATGAATTCGATGGTACGTTTGCTAACATCAAGTTTAATCGGGAAGAGGAAAATATTCCAGATAACATGTTACTCACTGGGAAGCAATTTAAAATTCTCAACAGAAATCTTAATTAACTTTTGAAAATTCAAGCTGATGGAGGAAATAAACATTATGTATCAAGTATCGAAGTTGATTTGGTGTTGAAACGTCAAGAAAGTCGACTTCATGAAGCTATTAATGATGTGGATCGTAATAATGAGAAAAGGGTGAAAGCACAATCGTCTACTTTCAATTCTAATTTGTTAGATTTAAAGGCTGTTGTGAAGGAGAGGCATTTCATGTTCATTCAAGATGTTAAGAAAGTTAATGAAGATGTTAATTTCAAACTTCAAGAACTCGGGGAGGATATGGGGCGAGAGATTGCAGTTTTGCAACAAGATTATTCCTTTCTTCATCAGCTTAATTCACTTTTGAAAATTCAAACTGATGGAGGAAATAAACATTATGTATCAAGTATCGAAGTTGATTTGCTGTTGAAACGTCAAGAAAGTCGACTTCATGAAGCTATTAATGATGTGGATCGTAATAATGAGAAAAGGGTGAAAGCACAATTGTCTACTTTTAATTCTAATTTGTTATATTTAAAGGCATGTCCTGTTAATTCAAGATGTTAAGAAAGTTCGTGAAGATGTTAATTTCAAACTTCAAGAACTTAGGGAGGATATGGAGCGAGAGATTGCAGTTTTGCAACAAGATTATTCCTCTCTTCATCAGCTTAATTCACTTTTGAAAATTCAAACTGGTGGAGGAAATAAACATTATGTATCAAGTATCGAAGTTGATTTGTTGTTGAAATGTCAAGAAAGTCGACTTCATGAAGCTATTGATGATGTGGATCGTAAGAATGAGAAAAGGGTGAAAGCACAATCGTCTACTTTTAATTCTAATTTGTTAGATTCAAAGGCTGTTGCGAAGGAGAGGCATGTCCTTTTCATTCAAGATGTTAAGAAAGTTCGTGAAGATGTTAAGATGTTAATTTCAAACTTCAAGAACTCAGGGAGGATATGGGGTGAGAGATTGCAGTTTTGCAACAAGATTATTCCACTCTTCATCAGAAGGTTGATCTTATTGCAGAGGTGGTGACGAAGTTAGTCAAGTTATATGAAGCTCTTCATTCAAAGATCCAGGAGATGGCTACTGATGATGTTCAAAGTTTCTAGAACATAAATCAGCTGTTGTTGAATTGAAAGGGCTAGTGTTGAAGAAAAAATTGGTATCATCTTCGTTGATCACTCCTGAACTTCTGTCTAAAAACTTTTCGTTTCTAAAATCCACAATTCAAAAGGAATTGGCTCATTTATCGAAATTACTGACTATCATACCAACAGATGCCCCACCTATTTTCACAGGGGTGCAAGGGGGAAAGAGGATTGGTGTTGGCAGGGGATCATGATTTGGAACTGGTGGAAGCTCATCAAATAAAAATGATGATGATGTGAAGGTTGTGCGTAAAGTTTCTTCAACTCAAATTCCTACTTCGTTAGTAAATGTCTCTACAATTTCAACTTCTACTACAACAACAACAAAGCCTATCTTGAAAGGAATTGTTATTGGTGAGTCTGGTAGTGGAGGGTCAAGTTCAAAAACTCCTACCACAGAGCAGTTGCAAAGTAAAGGAAAGGCTATATTGCATGAACCCACTGCTGAAGAAAAGAAAGCTACTATAGAACAAGAGATAGAAAAACAAAGGCATATTCAAAGCATTCTTAGAACAAGAGCAAACGATCCTCTTAGGTTGAACAAGGGTGATCCTGTTAAATACTTTAACTATGAGTACATCGAAACCACAGTTTTGTCTGGTGAGATGCATTCGTTTAGTAAGACTCCTAAAAAGAGTTATGATATAGAGAACACTGACATTAATCAATTAGATTTTCCAATCAATCTGATGATGTTTTGTGATGAGCAATTTGAGCTGGCTAACAACTTTGAAGATAAAGAAGAGTTTCGAAGAATGAAATATCGTGTTCATGCAGTTTTGGGGAAGAACGAAGATGTTGTATGGTCATCGGTCAAGATAGTTCGAGTTCTTAATGTATCCAAAGATGTTTTATTTGAGGGTATGTTACAGGATAATCGCTTTTTCGCAGTCAGGGCAAATAATGTGATGTTTGACTTCTCAATTGCTGACTTTCCTCTCATGAATCTTCATGATCTTTTGAATGTGGCAAAGATTTTAAAGTCAGTAGATTATTCGAAACTTCAAACTGTTAACAAAGAATATTTCATCGTTGGTTTCGAACATCTGAAAGTCTTTATTGATGGTTACTATGGAGCTCTTGCTGAAACTGATATTGATTTGGCTACTACATTGGGAAAGAAGGTTTCATTTCCAAAGTCTTTGATCAAAGATCAATCATTTTTGAAGAATTACGAAGATGGAGAAATATGTTTGAAGCCTTTGGGGATTATGTTTGTGGGAAAGAACAAGAAGGGTACAGTGACCAAGTTTTTATTCCAGGTGAACGATATTGAAAAATACACTTCTTCGCACTACACAAATTTGTTGATTCGGATGAATAACCGTGCAAAGAATAGTGACAAGGAGAAGGTTGAAATCAGGAAGATGGTTAACTGGTATTCAGAGATAAGAAGAGTTTTACATCAAGCTGCTCAACTATTCACAACCTAGATTCGACACTCATCATAAAGGGGGAGAATGTTGGGGTTCGAAAGTTGTGATGTGTCGAAGGTGTCTAGTTTGCTTTGTATGTCGATTAGTTGTGTGTAAGTTTATTTTAAGGACTTAATTGTTGTTTCGAAACTTTAGTGTCGAAAGTCCTTATACTTTTGTGCTGTCGGTTTTCCCTATATATATATATATATATATATATATATATATATATATATATATATATATATATATATATATGGGAAAGATACTGTTAGGGGTTAAGAACTTTTTCTAAGCTTGTAAAGTTTGTTTTCTCTCTCAACCTCTTGTATTCAAACTGAAGCAATAACATCGTGCCAAACAGATTATATTTACATTCTGTGTGTTCAAATTGTTCAATACTCTGATTCTGTTTCTTCACTCGATTCAATCGACACTTCACTTGTGAGTCATTTTTGAAATAAATCTTGTGTATGTGAAGCTTGTGGAAGAAGGGGAAGCTTGAGGACTCAAGAAGGAGATTATAGATCCAGCAACTTCACTACATTCTCAGCATTTTCTGGTAAGCAAGTCTCAAACTTGCTTAATGATTACCAAGATCTCCTTCCTATCACTTTTATTGGGTTTTTGGTCCAACTAGCATGATCCTTGGGAAATGGACGTCCCAAGTGAGTATACCTCTAGATCTAGGACCCTGAAGGGCTTTCATGGCATGAAGGTGCAAACTTTATGGTCATTGAAGCCCCATGCAAGAATTAGGATGTCATTTCGGCTTTTTAAGCACCAAAAGGCCATGCATGCGGAGAAATTCAGAGACTTTACATGTTCATGTAGTGTGTAGGGTCTAGATCTCAGTTTGCATGCCTTATCTTGAAGTTTTGATGGCTTTTGGAGTTGGATCTAAGCCATCTTGAGTTAGGGTTAGGGCTCATTTCTTCTAGTATGGGTCTTAGCGGGTAAATTCGGAAAACTTTACCCTCCTAGGTATTATTTCAACCCAGATCTGGAATATGGGACTCAAATTCAAAGGAATAATGGCTTAATACATTAAGAAAGCTTAACAGACTAAAAAACTAGACGAGTTCATAGAGGAACTGGACGATTTGATTCGGGGTGTCCCGATTTTGTTGACCGGAGAAACTCGATGAGTTCGTGAAAGAACTCGACGAGTTGGATCGCGATTTCAATGTTTATGATTTGTGGAACTCGGCGAGTTGACGGACCAACTTGGCGAGTTAAGTCAACCTAGAATGTTGACTTTGACCAGGACGTTGACTTTGAACAAGTTTGACCCGTTAAGGGGGTTTTGAGTATGGAATGGTATCTAAGAATTTGTTATGTATAGGGTGTGAGTAGAGTCGGGTGTGGAGCAGAGACGTTTCAGCTATTCACACGACATTGATGTGAGTTTCCTCATGTAGGATAGGTCGAAGGCACCAATGTCGGCTTGCATAGAGTATGTGTGATGATCAGTAGCTAAGTATGGGCGGGGCCCGTATCTTAGCCTTATTTATGATTAGTAGCTAAGTGTGGGCAGGGCCCGTATCTTAGTATTATTTGAGTATGGATATGAATTGGTATATTATGGTTATACTTGCTGTCTGTTTGATACTTGTATGCATGTCTACTTTAGCGGAGTGTGGGCAGGGGCCCATATCTCCTCGATAGTGAAGCGTGGGCGAGGCCCGTACCTCCCAGACAGCGGAGCATGGGCGAGGCTCGTACCTCCTAGCCAGCGAAGTATGGGCGGGGGCTCGTATCTCATAGTTAGCTGAGTGTGGGCGAAGGCCCGTATCTCTGAGATAGTTGAGTGTGGGCGACGCCCGTATCTTATAGTTAGCTGAGTGTGGGCGGGGGCCCGTATCTACTTGAGTGTGGGAGAGGCCCGTATCTCCTTGAGTGTGGGCGAGGACCGTATCTCCTATTTGCATGTTATATAATATTTGTATGGTATATGGT